TTACTGAATGTATTCCATTAGCCAGAATTAGATGAAATACAGGTTTCATGAAGAAGTAATTCCATGAAAGAGTGATTTCTATGCAGCCCACTCCTTTCTAGAGGAATGCAGCACCAAGCCCTTTGAAACAGGCTATCTTCCTGCTGAAGACAACAGCACAATCAATTTGATCTTGCGCGACTGATTTAGTGAGTTAATATATTCACTTATTTTACATACATACATATGCAAAGCCATACATACAATGCAGCAGAGATTGGAATTAGGGCCTCGGGAGAGGAGAGGAATCACTTACCTACTGAGTCACCACAGTCTAGCATTGTTCCAGGGTAGTCATATGTAACCCATTAATTTAAAATATAATTATGCTCCGCTACTAAGTACATATGCACAGAACCTTACACAACCAAGGAGATATTTTCAAAGCTTTCTCCTCTGCAGAAACATCTGCAGTACCTATTTTTAAACCGAGGACCTAGCATTATGTCTTCACTGAAATTAAGCTAATCTCGGCACACTGAACCAAAAGAGCATATTTCTAATTAGTAGTGCTGCATAAGGAAAGAAAGAGAATTCCATTCAAGTCCCAAGATAGAATCCAAATCTCCAACAGACGTGTCTAATGTTTGCTGTGAGTGATTGACAAATGGATGTTTCAAGAAAATGAGCCAATTAGTCCAAAGCTTTAGTTACTGTAACTGCTGTGGATCATAAAATGCAGGTTCATCTCTTTTATATCTATACCATAGAATGGTGTATGCATTGAGGGAATGGGAGGTAAGTGGGAAGATGCCTGGGCAACATTAAAAATTCCATCACCTTGGCATGGATCTTGATGCTCAGGAACTACTTAAAGGGCAGAGTCATTTGGCCAACAGATTACCACTGTTTTCACAACAGCTTCTTGCTTAAAAGAAGAAGAAGGGCTGACCTTTAGGGAAAGCATCAGAGTAGCGCTACAGGAAATACCCAGATGACTGCCAAACGAATACAGCAAGGAACCTGGAAATACAGAATGGAATCTAACCCAGACACTATTAAACATGTGGAATCAGCTGCAAAGCTGCCTGTAGTAAAAAGAAATAGGAAAATAGAGTCAGAGATGAGCTCTTAACCAATGGGAAGGGGAATACAATGTTTAACATTTTGTACTCTCTGCTGGAAAGAGACAGCAAGATGTCTTAACTAGAATATCATATTTACTAAGAATAATTTACAATCCCAACAGGTTTCTTCTCTTTTCTGGTGCTCCCCAAATTTACTGGACTCGATGTCTTCAGTTAAGTGAAGCTTGCCTAAAAGTACAGCTACAGATTTTAACTGCAGTGCATTACCCTTGCACAAAGTATAATACCAATGTGCATTTGATGTTCAGACTCAGTTCTGTGTGGCTTTTCACATTCACGGAATATGATTTGGCTTTCACACTGACATCTCATTCAGCTCACCCTATTAATCTCCAAGTATTTACGCAAGTACCCGGCTGATATAAACAGGAGCCAAACTGATTTGAAATCTACATGCTTCTTTCTTATTTAACAATGGGGACTTCCCAGCCTCCTTCGAGACTATTAATTGATGCAATCTATATGACAGTAAAACCATAGTGTAATATTTACAACTAGTCAGTGTTCTGAATTGTCTGATCAGATTATACTATGTCATGCATATCTTATTCCAAAGGGAAAACCTGCTGTTGTCTTAAGAATCGATGTATTTATGTATGCTGCTTAATTAAAAGAAAAGGGGGAAAGGGGAAAGATAACAAATTGATGGCTGAAACAGAAAAAATTTGATCTTAAAGTTTCTACATGATATATAGGCTACAATCCTAACCTTGATTACCACAGAGTAGGCTCAACTGAATTCAATAGAATTGACTTCTGAGTATACAGTACATTTTTAGCACTGCATGTTATTATATTGTTATTAATATAATACAAATGTTCATGCAAAAGATCCTCAAATAGCAATTTTCCCACGAATGTATAACTTCTGTCTTCTTGGATCCCCCTCTTTCTCCCCCCACTACAAAAGACCACAGAAGGTCTGAAGCAGAAGGGCATTGCACTATGTACAATTTATTATAGCCGGCTTTGCCTGGATAGGAAATCTTCATTAGCATACACTTCTCAACCAAAATTAGTAAAGCTGAAAAATGGCCATGAAAATCGCCGTTTTGTGAATAACCATAAGCATCAGAACACACAATTTGCTATCAGTTTCCATGAGCTGCCTCAGGGTGGACAGTGTTTTTATAACCCATTACACTATCTTAAACTTGTACGTTCTTATCAAGGTTTCACAGTTTCCATAAATTGGTTCAGAAATGTTTTATCTGAAGAACCAACGTCCCATACTACCGGGCTTGCAATCAGCAACCATTTATAATGAATCTATATTAATAGCTCAGTGTTCCTGCCTTAAAATTATACTTCATAATAAAATTCAGTAAGTTTCCTAGGGTCAATGCCACTCCCATGACTGGTACTGTCTTTATCTCTGCTTTCAACTTTTTGGGTTAATACATGTCAAATCATACTGCCCAATTCCTACTTTTAGTCAATCTGAAGCCAAAGAGTTTAAACTAATAATCTACTGGTGAGACTTTCCAAAACAACCCCCTCCTCCACATCATCATAAGGGAGGTCATTCAGGTCCCTTTTTCAAGCTTATAGGGCATTTCCTTTCAAACTGAATCTCCCCAGTCTCCCAAGTGCACAAATTCAAAATGTTAGCCTTTATCTTGGAAATGTTCTGAAATTCACCATAAATGAAGCCTGCTTTAATCACACATTTCCCACTCGGTATTTTCAGCTATAGCAACAGCAGTTCTTGGCAAGGTGGCCAGATGGAAAAGAGGGTAAGGCTCCTGTACCTTTAATAACTGGGTAGTGCAGTGACTCACCAGGCCAATCACAGTGCTGCTTAAAGCAGAGCTCTTTATTAGCCATGGTTTCTGGGAGCATAATCATTCCACAACTTAAAACAAACAGAAAGCAGCAGTTGGTGGTTGGCTTAAGAGTTGGCAGGAAACAAGGGGTAACCAGACAAAGCTTTCAGATCCTTATACATAAAAGTCATGCTGTTTTCGTGAGCAAGTGGCTGGAAATATAAAGGCGGGGGGGGTAGAACTAGAAACACCAAGACAGGTGTCTCAATGCTAGAGACAGATTCCCCCAAGCCTGCCTTCCTAGTGGACACCTGTCCAATGTTCTCTTATCAAGCTCAAGTCTCTGCTCCAGATTCCAAGGTGATGCATTAAGGATAAGTATCATCTCTCTTTCTCTCTGGACACTAACAATTCATGAAGCACATTCTTGAATGGAAACTAAACAGAAATAATACATTTTGAATAGTCAGGACAACCATGAACAACCATCTCAGTATGAGAATGATCAAATTCTTTGGTTTTTCAAAGACAACACTTGACATCATTTAGGATCTCTTTCCTGGAATCCAGAAAACCAATAAAATAGGGCTGGAGTTAAACAAAAAAAATGGGTTGATAGATGGACTGAAGTCAGAGAAAGACATTTGTTAATTGAAATGTCAATATAAAACTACCATTGAAATGAAGAGAGATTCTGATTTTGGCCCACAGATTTGAGGTTTTCCACCAATCTAAATCAACATTGACAACTACAAGATCACCCCTTTATAATAAAGCTAAAAAGTACAAGCTGTACTGTTGCCAGAGTTATCCGTGGAGGAAATAAATATTTATTAAGATTTACATGGATAACTCATATCTAAAATATTTGAAATGCTAGAGGAAAGAGTCCTTGTAGCAATCAGTCTATACGCAGATCAAAGTGAGACATCTACCAACATAAGCATTTCAGATGCTCATTAAGAAGTTGAGGAACACAAAAAGAAAGCTGAGGACTGACTGCTCAGCCTATAAGGAAGTTACCAGTGAAGATAGAGAAAAAGACAGAAAGGAAAGCAGGTCTTCTTAAGCAAGCAAAGTAGCCTGGGCGGTTAACTGCTAATGACATACACACAAGTTTCTCTGATACGGGAAGGAAAACTTTGTATTGCTCTAAAAGGCAACAGACTTTTTACCTTTTGGATCTGAGCAAAGAGACAAATAGCCTAATATGATGGCAGGCTGTCCTAATTCTGTGATTTCACAGAAAGCTTTAACCAAGTACTGTAATTAATTTCTACAAACTAAGGTTTGATTTAAAATATTTTGAGGGGAGTGTTGTTGAAGCTGCAAAATAAAGTAATCATGTAATTATCTAAGATCTTAATTACAGAAGAGCTTCTCCTTAATGCCAAACACTTGTGCACATACGCTAACATCTACTGCTTGTTATATTTAGGAGCAAAATAGCTTTCCCATGGGAACTGGGAGAGGGAATACTGGTTGGAACTTTCCATTAACAAAGAGGCATCATCTAAGGTCATTGTTCACAACCAAAGCAGCAATATGAGAAGAACCCAGACAGCAGATCCATAGACTTTCATATTTACTGAAATAGTTTTTATTTCTCACATTTACATGTCACTGTTTACTCTCTCTTGGACCCAAAGCAGTATTAATGTGCTTCCCAGCAACCTCCTATCTAGGCACTGACCAGACCTATACCTGCTTGGCTTTAGCAAAGTAGAGACTTTATATGCCATGGAATCCTGTTTATAAGTATATTCCAAGTTGTGGAACTATTGCCATGCATTTAACTCAACCCACATTGGCAAATATATTCTTTAGTTCACTTTCATTAGCCTTCTGGTGTTATGTGATAAATATAGGAATCATGCAAAGTCTTCTCTATATGCTAGGGGTGGGGTAGCTCTAGCCTATAGGCCAAATCCAGCACAGCACAGATTCCAGCTTGGCCCATGAGACTGTTTACCTTAACCTCCTGCCTTGACAGGTGTGGGGCAGGTAGAGATCTGGCTGGATTGGCAGTTGCCATGGGGAACGTGCTTACGCAGCCAATCCCTGCAGAATGCAGAGGTGGAGTCACCTAACTGCCATCGGCTGATGGACAGAGAGTTCAACATTGCTGGATTGGCTAGGCAACAGTCACAATCAATAGAACAGTGATATTCTTCTTGGATCTTCAAGTGTCCCTGTGCAACAATATGTTTCCTGTTGATACATGAATTCATCTTGTTTCATTGGTAAGATGGCAAAATAGTCGGTAACAATTTGTGGGTTAGCTGTGGTAGCAACATACTGTATTTTTGAACACTGTAGTAGTAGATATGGATACAGTGGTACCTCGGGTTAAGTACTTAATTCGTTCTGGAGGTCCGTTCTTAACCTAAAACTGTTCTTAACCTGAGGTACCACTTTAGCTAATGGGGACTCCTATTGCTGCCACCGTGTGATTTCTGTTCTCATCCTGAAGCAAAGTTCTTAACCTGAGGTACTATTTCTGGGTTAGTGGAGTCTGTAACCTGAAGCGTCTGTAACCTGAAGCATCTGTAACCTTTGTTTACCTTTGCTGCTTGATAATCTGCTTCAGATAGTTCTGTCCAGATAATAACTTCTTGTTGAGCCTTACTGTTGCTCAGCCCAGCACAGAACAACCCAGACTATTTGGAGCTTTGTAGTGTTGCAGTTTTGTAGCCCACCAGGTCTATGAGCTATCAGTATAAGCAAGCTTGAGCTTGTGCCACCTAAAATAGTTGAGCTGTGCTCACATAAACTATTGGCAAAAGGCTATTCATTCCTCAGCATGCTTGTCTCTGGTCTAAACCTTTGTCTGCATAAAGGATGCTCAAAAATATCAAATCAGTGGAGGAAAGGAATTAGCTATGAAGCAGTACACTTTAATGAGAGCGCTCACTACTGTTGATTAGTAGGCCAATGTCCCAAATAAGTAATCCTCCTTTACTAGCCTTAGAAATCAAGGCAACATGCAGAAAATAATCTCTCAGTTCTGAAGGGCTAAATATGTTGTCTATAATTCACAGGCAATAATGAATTCTAAATCCTAACTTTCCTGAAGGCAACTCTTGCTCTCACCACTAGTCATCAGTATCTTCTTGCTAAAAATAACTCCTCAGCTCAGCTACAGTTTTCCATAGTTGTGCATCATTCTGCCTCCCTTTAATGTGCTCATTTAGTTGCGCTAAGTGATGGCAACTGGGAAGATTGCAAAGATGCCCATTATAAAAGCAAAACATCTATCAGATGACATTTCCCCCCCCCTAAGGCAGTCATTAAACTGGATTACAACCACAGCAGTTCAGCCTTGGGCTGCTGAAAAGCAAATTGGACATTAATTGCTGCATTTGAGTGGTTTCTCCTGCACGATTATCTATAATAATATTACCATAAAGGCCTCGTAAAAGGTGCAATCCACTGTCTCCCACCTACTAAGAAAATAAACACTTTGCTCAGCAAGTAGCATCCAATTATAATGTGCCCAACACTTTATATAACCTCGAGGGTGTAAAAAGAAGGCAGTTGGTCTTTGTTGGTGAAGTTCAAGCTCCCTTGTCTGGTGACTTCAATTTAAACTGACCTACGAAACACTGAAGTAGCCCGATCTATCTAATACGCCCAGACTGTACACAGTTCTCTAGCCATGCATTGTCTCTCAGTGCTTTGCTTGATGTGTTTCCTCTTTTATAGCCCACCATGTGATCATCTGGTTGGCTGTGATATACGGCTGATGTGTTGCATACAATATGAGGAATAGAGTAAAATGGGTGTTGTGTAACATACTTCAGAGAGTAATCCTATAGACCAGCGGTTCTCAACCTGTAGGTCCCCAGATGTTGTTGGACTACAACTCCCATCATCCCTCAGCTCTGGCCTTGCTAGCTAGGGGTGATGGGAGTTGTAGTTCAACAACATCTGGGGACCCACAGGTTGAGAAAGGCTGCTCTAGAACAGGTTACTGTACTGTGAAATTGCCCTATTATGTACAATCTGTATACCAAGTTTAAACTGCAGTGGCACCTTCAAGCATAGTACGAACCAGCATTCCTAAGAGTGCAACATTCAAACACACACCAGGTGTCCTCTATATCTGTTTATGTGTTCATATGTGGATGTCAATTTGGAAGCTGATAGTTAATGGCATGTTCAAGCAAGCGCTGCCCTTTCTTACCTTCTTCAATGTGCCCAGTACTTTCTGTGGTGTTTTCATTTGAAGCCTCCACTAGTGGCCACTGCCAGAGGCAATGCATGAGGTTTAATGGCCCAATGGACTGATCCAGTGCGGGAATATTTCTCCTCCTGTGCAGCATCCTGTGAGATCTCTCTATCTCACCAGCTGCTGCTGCAGTACAAATCATATTGTGTATAATGGCATGTCTGCCTTGGGAATTTATGGGTATGCACTGCGGGCAATGGTGGCGATGACGACAGATCAGCCAGAATGCATACACGTTTCAAATTGCTGGAAATCCCCACTGGGTTGTACTGCAGGAAAAATGAGAAAGCCTGCTGGCTGCTGCCAGCCCACACACTGGATAATCTGTTTCTCTTTGCAATGAGCAAAGTAAAACAACACTAGGCAATGATGAAAAGAGGAAAAGGAGCAGCCTTGAACTATCACTTCCCTCAATGTTCCAGAGGATAGCTCTGTACCAATGGAAACTAATCACCATTGCTTGAATTCTCATATGTTCTGGCAGAACAGCTGAGAAAGAAGGAAGGAGGGAGATTTTGCGGTGGGCAGAATTAGGGACGCCAAAGTTTCCTGTCATTATGTGACAGTGACAAGCAATTTATGAGCTCAGAGTTCAACACGGAATTATTACCCCTCCAGAAATAACACAGACACATGCATTTCACTAATTGCAGTTGTGCCGTGGCAAATTCATTTTATCTGCCATAACAGGGAAGCAAGCAGAATTCATCAGGCTTGCTCATAGATAGAAATGGGAGAGAAATTAGATGCAGTTTGCAGTTAAAGGTGAATCTGTAAAATTTACACTTTCCAAAACCACATGAGAACCAAAACACCACCATCCTTTGAAATGAACACATATCTGAATTTTGAGATATAGCTCCCCAGTGAACCAGTGTCAGCACAAATGCATCTGTTAGGGGAAAGTATGCCATAAAAATGAGTATATTAGTTGAAAATAACATAAAACGTGCATTATAGTAGGAGAAATCACTTGCAAAAATATGTACATTTGTCAAATGCTGATGGATTTTCATGTTTTTTAAAAAATAAAAAAGTGCAAATTGCTGCAGAAATGTGGAAAACTGAACTTAAGATAGGAAAAAATGAGAAACTGAGGGAACCAAAATGGACAGCTCCTTCCATCCCTATTCACTGCACATTTTCCAGGCAAAAGATTGCTCATGTGAGTTATATGCTGTATTCTATGAAGCTGCAAGGATATGTTATGCAACTGAACTGCTTGCTTTTTTAACAAGAGAGTAGAAGCTGTCTGGTTCTGCAGATTACAGGTTTGAAATGGAAGTCATTCACTTGTGCAATATGCTCACACATATGCTCATGAGGATATTTTTTTTCCAGGAACAATCCAATAACTAAAACATGAAACCTATGATTTCATTCTTGAGCTATTGCCATCTTTATGCTTCAGCAGAAGCATAAAGTAGAAGCCTTTGATGATGACTGCAGTGTCTAGGCCGATTCATGTGTGGAAAGGCAGTATTTTGGGTCCTGGGGTCCTGTGGCTTCAGAGGTCACAACTAGCACTTTGAATTGAGCCCAGAAAGTAATTGGCAGCCAGTGCACATGGGCTAGAATCTGTGTAAAATGCTCAGATCTTCTGGTCCTAGTTAATAATCTGGCAACCTAGAGATTTCCAGGGCATAGGCGACTAAAACCATGTTATTTCTGTCCATACAGGGAAACTAAGCAAGGGTCAGTAATGGATCCATAAGTATTCCCCAAGCAGAGTACCTTTAAGTTGAGTGAAACTTCTTCCAGAACAGATAGAACAGGATCCCATAAATATGTTGCTTCGGGGGCACTATGCTGGGCAACATATTCTTTCAGACAAAGCAGCACATTCTGTGTTAGTAGATGGGGGTGGGAGTAGGAGGAAGGGGAAACATTGTTGATCTTAGTCCCCCTAGTTCCCTTCCCTTATCAAAAACTTCAACTTCACTTCCTTCATTTTTATTGCAACTTCTAGAGTCTGACAGAAGTGCCCTGCCTGTGTTGCTTGATGACAGGATTTCATTAGTCTATAATGACATTTTAGTGCTTGTTTTAATCATTTCAAGTGCTATTGCGTCCTGCTGTGAGAGATTGTTTTAAATACCAGAAGGTGCACTGCTGGAGTAAGGGCTTCCCTTTTCACATACCAATATATGCAAAAAGAAAAAGAAAAGCAGTTGGGTGATATTTTGCATGGTTTATGAGGAAATATTAAAAGCTATAAGACAATATGAATTGTTTTCAGATTAAAAGCTGGCAATGGGTATTATTTACAAAACGTTAACATTACCAAAGCCACAGAATATGGGATATAATCAAGGCTTTTCCCCCAGCTGGACTCACCAGAACTCAGTTCTGGTACGTCTCAGGTGGGCGCCATTGCCATTCTAAGAGAACAAGGGAGGTGTTAATAATGAGTTCTGGCACCTCCTTTTCTAAAAAATATAGTACTGGATATAATATACACCAGAGTCATCAAACATTTTGGTCAAGAGGCATATTTGGAATGTGGAAAGAGTGCTGTAGGCTCCAGTTACAAACTGCATGTCATGGGGCATAGCATAGCACTACATTGTTGCTGTTGTTATGTGGGACTGTGGCATAACACAGTATGGGCATTGCACCACTCAAAACAGAAGAGTGTGTGCCCACTTCTAGCATTTATTGAGATATTTTGTGGGTGTCATGTTGATGAACCTAGAATAACATGTTCAAATCAACATCTTATCTGTTCTGGAGAAAATAACATCAGAAGGGGTGAGCGAGCAGAACCCCAACCCCCAAGCCTCAAATATTTTGTCAATAAAATAGTGGGGCTTGAGTTTCCTGGGAGAGTCAGGTCTAACAATATTAGCAACCCAAAAAGCCCCAAAAGAAGTTACGGGAACTGAAACCTAGAGCATGAGTCATTTTCAGATCAGTTGTAAGAAGAATTGCACAGCATCTCCACTTCCTGTAGCATCAATTGTAGTTTGCAGCAGCAATTTTTGCATGCGCTCTTCCTTCTATTCTTTCTTGTTCTTTGCCCTGTCCTAACAGGTCATAACATAAAACTCACAAGGGCTAAAGAGTGAAGATGAGCTCAACTAACAGTTGACAATGAGGCACAAGGTAAATGTAGTTTATAATAGGACAGACATATGTCCTGAATTTCCCAGACGTAGATAGAATATGGCAGTTGGAAACAGTGTGTGGGCAGAAATCACTGAAATGTCCAGGAAAATCCAGACGTATGGCAACCCATGTTAGAAGTCTAGATTTTGGCAAATTTCCTTTAAAACTAGCTCAAAAAGTCAGTATTTTAAGATTTTGCAAAGAAAGCTCAACAACTTTTGCGTCCGGATTTTCACTTTCTGAAATACAGCAACCCTGGTTTATAAGTACATTAATTCAATGAGTAGGAAGATGCTCATGAATCAAAGTTCCCAAGGAAAGTTAGGAAGCAGGCCCAGAGACAGAGGGAGGGTGTTTTGAATGATAAAGAACTTCTAAGTAGCAGCCAACTTGGACTAACAAGTTCCAGGCATGGAATGAGTCATTTTTATCTTCTTACCAGGTCTCCTGCCTATATTGGGTTATTTTCTTTTTAATTGGTTTTTACCAACGATTTTCTTGTGTAACAAATTGTTATTTGTGTAACAAACAAATAAACAAAGAAAAGTACATATGGTGTCTCCACTTTTAATTCACAGTCTTTTTCACAGTTCATTTGCATTCGGTATGAGACACTGTTGTCATATACATTATGCAGTTTTATGTCTTCCCTGACCAATGTAAAGAAATAGCACCTTAGCCTGCAGTCTGGCACTTCATCATTCTTCAATATTTTCCTGGCAGGACTAGTGGAGCTATGCCAGAAGACTGTGGAGATTTGTGTATATTGCATGGCAATTCTTCAAGAGATTTCATGCTTGGTGGCTTTGGATATTGGTGGATCTTCAATCAGTCTGCACTGAGGGTCCTACCTCCCGAATCCTAGTTTAACAGTGGCTGTGGGTGTCATTAAAGGGACACAGGTGGTGCTGTGGCCTAAACCACTGAGCCTCTTGGGTTGCCGATCAGAAGGTTGGCAGTTTGAATCCCCGCGACGGAGTGAGCTCCTGTTGCTTGGCCCCATCTCTTACCAACCTAGCTGTTTGAAAGCACGTCAAAGTGCAAATAGATAAATAAGTACCACTCCGGCGGGAAGGTGAATGGTGTTTCCGTGCGCTGCTCTGGTTTCACCAGAAGCGGCTTAGTCATGCTGGCCACATGACCCGGAAAAATTGTCTGCGGACAAACGCCGGTTTCCTCGGCCTGTAAAGTGAGATGAGCGCCGTAACCCCAGAGTCATTCACAACTGGACTTAACAGTCAGGGGTCCTTTACCTTTACCTTTTTAAGGGTGTCCTTAAGTTTCAAGGCTCATACCTTATTTCTCTGTATAAGACCTCAGCTGAGTCAGAATCTAAAAAGCAGCTTGAGACTGGAATTATAACACTCTTATCTTTACATTACGCCTATGTGGAGTTTGGCTGGAGCTGTTCCAAGTCAGGGGTCAATCTTTCACTATATCCTGAAAAATATCCTGAAAAGGGGGCTATCAAATAATCTAAGGTTGGGGAGAAAGTAGTGATCTTCTTAAATTTTATAATTATCTGGCCCTTAATACTCAGGTGAATCATGAATTATCATTTCCCCAAGAGATTCTGCTTGCCCTCAGAATGTAAATCAAACTTGTCAGCATGCCTGTGAATGTGTAGTTTCGAAGGGTGCTTGTCTGTTCATAGAGATTTCAGGTTCCTAGGAATATACATATCCCAGGACTTTTTGGAGTTGATATGCTGGGGAGAGCATGGTCAGCAAAAACACAGGCAAAAAGAACACTTTGCATTACTTGGGGTCACTCTGCAAGAGAACATCATTAGGCACAAAACCTTGTGTTGGTTCCCCTTTTGTTCTACCCTTACTTGCTACAGCAACCCACACAGGACATATGCTCTTTCTCCTGCTGTCTACTCCATATGCTAGCTTTGATTAATTAAGATGATTAATCTGCAATCAAATGATGCCCCAATTTATCACAGTGTTTATTCAGTTAAAATGTTCATTCCCCAAAATCATCCTGTAACTCTAACATCTTCTACCTCAGTTTGCTTGTCGAATTTGCTTCCAGGGATCATGAGTCATATCTGGGGAATGAACATGACTGGCATTTTTGAGTCAAAGGGTTACTCCTCTGACCTACTTCCAACAGGATCAACAGCTGCAGGCTGACTATGGAATGCACAGATAAAACACTGCTAGACAGTTATATGCAGGTAAGATGTTTGGTTCCAGGTTTTCCCTCCTTAAAAATAGTAACAACAACTCTCAACTGTGCCTCTACAAATGCTAAGATGAGCAAACATGCAACGTACTTGCACATCAAAGAGATATAAAGAGGCAAATTTTGATCAGTGCAGATCTTTTTTTCATTAGCAGATGAGGGGAAAAAATAATCAGTTGAATTGTATATCTGAAATTGAAAGAGAAACTGAAAAAGAATCCTGCATTGAAAAGCCACTTCTCAAACCCCTGTCCACCACAATAATTTCACTGACTCATTTAAGCAACAATAGCAACACGTTCCATCTACAACAATGCCATACAAAGAAATGCAATTTTATTTTTATGCTGTTGAACAGCCAGTAACCTTCTAAGACTATATTGTAAATTTCTAACAATAAAGTTTCCAGCTATAAAGGAGGAAATTATTTTGGATTGTTTTGATATGTGCAAAGGCTACTTTTTATGTACATATTTTATTTGCATTAAACATTGACCACTCTAATCATGTTACACATCTGCTAAGATGAAGTCTGGACCAGTAAAAGTTGCTGTCTGAGACAGAACAGAAAATGCCCCCTCCACATCAAATTCCCTGTTACTAAGACCAGTCAACTTATTTTGACACCCGATAAAGAAAATCTCTTGTCTCTACCACTTCCTGGCAGTAAAAATTTAATAATCATAAATTGTTCCCTTTCATGACACCCAAAATCAGCTGTCCAAGGCAGCCACCTCCACTCTACTTAATTGTTAGGCCATCTGTAGCTAAGACTTCCCTTTCCTCTTTATTATCTTATTTACTTGCTACAGGTTAGTGAACAATAGAAAAACACATCTCCCTTAGCAACCTAGTATTTGATTTAGTGGTTGCAGCTTTCAGAAACAATTTAACATGTCGATTTATCCTGCATCCCCCTTTACATTCAGTCCAAATCCATAATAATTCCTCAGACCTGAGGGTACATCTTTGGATTGTCATTGAGATGACAGAGCAAATTTATAAGAGCAAAATGCGGTAGGAATCATGGCATCTATTTATAGCCAAGTCCCCCAATATCTCTCCCATAGATAAACATTTCTACTTATAAAAACCCTTCCAAATATATTTGGTTCATGGACAAATATATTTGGTTCATATCTGGGCATTTTGCAGCATCTGCATTGATGGCCTAGGAGACCAGGCTCCGAAATGAGTCTAGTAATTTTGTCCCAGAATAACTGGTGACAGGCTTCAGGGGACTTGAGCTCGACTAACAGTGAAATCTTAATATCCTATACATGTCTGCTTATAAATAAGTTCTATTGTGCTCAGTGCGATTGGAGTGCACTGGATTGTAGCCAATATTAATGCTCTAGCTTAAAGGTAAAGGGCGCTGCGATACAATGTACTCTGTCTTTCTAATTAATAGTAGTGGTCTCCAAGGCTGGGGTCATGGGTAGCTGTGCCAAAATCTTGGTTTACAACACTTCAGAACCTGGAGCATGGAGAGAAAGTTTTTATACTAGGCCTGGCCGGAATTTTAATACTATCTGCAATTATAGAAACTTAGGCAGAACAACTCTGTTATCTTCTGAAAAGGCTCCAAAGGCTGAGCACATGCATTTTATGGGTGCTCACCAGCCTCAGCCCTGGAGCCATTCACAATATCATTCAAACCTATTAGTAAAATAACCCTTCCATAACAGTCCTGGACTACTGCAATTTGCTATATGGGGGGCTGCCCTTGAAGACTGCCGCCAGAAATGTGGATGCTGGATTAGTAAGTGGGGCAGCCCAATGGGACCTTGTTTTGCTGGTCTTTAAAGCACTGCACTGGCTGCCAGTGAGCTACTAGGCCTAATTCAAGGTGGTAGTATTACCATATAAAACACCCAATGGCTTATGACACAAATACATCAAATTAGGACCTTCCTCTGTATCAACCATCTTGAACCCTAAAATAATCAGGCGAGACCTTTTTGGTGCCCCTACCAATAACTGACCCATGACAGGACCTTTTCAATGGTGCTTCCCTGTTTGTGGAATTCCCTCATTATTGACTTTCAGGAGAAGGTAAGAACATTACTGTTTAACCAGGCATTTGATGGCCGAAAGATGCTGTTCTTGGCAACCGTGAAAGAATGTTTCAAACTATTTCTAGAATGTTTTGAATTGTTGTTGTTGTCGTCGTTGCATTTGCTACCCTGGGCTCCTTCAGGATGAACGGCGGATATAAACTGAATCAATAAATACATAATATTCTATACCTTAACTACTGTTCCTCCATTAAAATAGAATTTCCTCTTCTGTCCACATTTTTATCTGTGATCCAAGTACATCTGCTCCCTCAACTTGGCAGCAGGAAACCATTCCCAACAGAGGGTGAAAAAGTGCTTATTCTAGACACACCTTCATCGACAGTAAAGGGCACTTTTTGCAGACAGCCTGTGAGTAGGGAATTTTAGAGGCTGCCAGTTTGACGTTTAGGGAAAATAAAAACACCAGTTTAATAAAATGCTCCAACAGTGCAGGCAAACAGTATGGAATATTACATTTGTCCTCCTCGAGGGGAAAAAAAGCCCAACAGAAAACTCAGTAGCATCAAGGTTTCAGGGTTGCAGAAAGTTTGTTGAGAAAGAAGAGCTATGCTGGTCTGAAATGCTATCAAAGAAAAAGTGAGCATCACCTCAGAAAATAGTGTCCAGGTAGGAATGATTTTTAATGGTTTTCTAACGGGGCCCAGCTGGTTCATTCTCAGCTTTGCAACAAAATACTTGTGTGGATCTGCACAGCTGATTTAATCTTGCCACACTTTGGTTTTACTGTTATAAATTGATAATCACACCAGAGCCCAAATTACAGAGGAAAGAAGAAGAAGAAAATAGTTTTGGGGAACATGAGTAAAATGTTTTTCGCCCAGTGCTGAAAATATATTAATGAAGTTAGTAGTACCAGGTGAGCCTCCCTGAGGCGAGAATTCCAATAAGTGACTAAGGATACTTAAGGAACTTGATCATGGTGAATTCTGGTACAAACTAAGGCGCCATGTGCACTATATATTTAAAGCAGTATCGTATCACTGTAAACAGTCATGGCTTCCCCTAAAGAATTCTGGGAACTGTAGTTTTTAAGGGTGTTGAGAGTTGTCAGCATGACTGTATTACCCTGAGAGAGCTACAATCTTCAGAATCCCCTGGGAAGCAGGTTTGATTGTCAAACCATTCTGGAAATTGTAGCTCTGTGATGAGAATAGGGGGTCTCCATGCTCCCAGTTGCTATTGTAACTAAGTTAAAGTACTTGGAAATTAAGTAATCACTCATTCTTCTCCTGTCTACCCATGCCTCCAAGTCTCTCCTATGTCTCATTTCAGTGAGCCTATTTTATATTGTGTGCATCTTAGGACTAGCATCTGTCATATTGGTACTATGTAAAGTCCTACATACATAAATATAACAACAATTTGGTGTAATCTGGAACTTCTTTATCATTCAAATACCCATGAAAAGTGGAGGTGCAACACCATAAATTCTGTAGCCACATAATAATGATGTTTACGTCAGATGGTATTTTCAAGAGCACTCAAATATTGATCTAACTCTGCTCCAGTGGTGAAGTCAATGGGAATTTCACCATTGATTTCAGTAGGAGGAGAGAAAATCAATTCCCAGCACTTGTGAAAATTTCACAGTCGGTCATTACTGATTGAGAGAATATTCAAAGGACTAATGATGGCGGTTCAGTTTAGAGCTTCATATCCCATTGCGCACCCCATGAGCCACTTGACTCTCTGCTTTGTTTGGAAATCTATATGTTTAGCATTTAAAGCTTTTTTTGCTTTCCTTGCTTCGCACCTAGCAAAGGCTTCCCCCCCATGTGCTAATGGTTTAATTATATTCTTTCCCCTTCATTTCTTTAGGAGTCATCACTAAGATTAAAATTCTTGTTCAAAGCAGATCTACGCAAGTAGGTGACTTTAGGGTTCATTTTCTAATTGATCAAACAAACTGCTAATTAAATGCATCTGTGCCTAATCAAAACATGGCTACATAAGCACAGTGTATCATTTAGCTGGGTGCATGAGATTGTATTCATCAAGGGGAATGAAGACTCAGCTTGATTAGTAAGTGGTGAAACACATTCAAATCCTTTATTTAGGCCAACTTATACCAGAAGCCATGTTTAATTATTTATGTAGATTTTTTAATAAAAGATATACAAGTTTTACTCCTTAATATGATGTGTTCAGAGTAGCCCAACAATGCTGCTAATGATGCTCTTGCCATTTTTAGTCTTTGCAACCCTTTGTGAAAGAATAAATTTATCCATGTTTCAAAGAGTCATATCTATGTATGTGCAAGCATAGAAAAAACAGTGAGGGAGAGGCGTTCTCTTATATACTGAAAAGTGTTGTGTGGAACTATTCAGGCCTATTCTTTTGTGTTGCTGCAACTTACCTGTTTTGGTGCAAAGACAGATCTCCTGCATTGCAGAGACTGGAGAAACACGGGCTATTTAGCTTCCACTTTCAAGCTTGCTTAACTTTACTCCTGCATAGCTGTCTCTTGGTATCTTCTATTCTATACCACCCTTTCCTTTCACTTCCAAACTGCATGGGCAGATGGCTGGTACCTGCCATTCTCCACTTGACTATCTTGACTTGTATTTTTACTAGCACTCTGTTTTTTTAAATTCTTCTCTTTAAACTCTTTTAAAGAATTCACTGTGGAAAGGGCTTTGTCTTTTTATTTATTTATATTATTTTTAAAAATGGTGAAAGGAAATACTTTCCTTTAAAACAAAATTGATGAGTGCATCGATCTCAGATCTTCAGTAGCCACCCTCTCTGGCTTCCTTCACTTCAATTAAAGCACATGGAAAGGTGTCACGACGTAATGTCTGCTTTTTTGTAGTGATGTGTAAAATGCTATGCTATGGGAGCCTTTTTGGTTGAAATTTAAAAAAATAACAATATTTAAACAAAAAATACATATAGAAGAAATCCTACAGGGCTTTTCAAATTGCGAAGAAGTGTTTTATTGGGGGGGGGAATGTTTTATGGGAAGAATAAGAAAAGCCCACAAACACACTGATGTAAACTAAATTGAATCCCACACCCATCAAAATTTTAAAGAAATTCTTTAAAAAATAAATAAATCCTAACGTGTCCCACAAATGACAAAGAAAAATAGAAACCTCTTTTGTGATGGAATAAAACTCTCAAGGAATTAGAGAACAGGTTTTGGTACATTGGCGGTACAATTTCATCCTTTAATGGACTTGTTTAAAAGCACAGGACACTTGCTAGGAATTCCCTGACTTCCACTCCATTTCCACCAAGATTCCACCCTCCTTTTCTCAGACCTCTGCTTTCTCTTTCCCTCCAAAGTTGCTTCATTTTATTCCTCTTTTGCAGCCAACAATATGCAGTTTCTCCTGTCCTGAAGAGTGGAAGTTTGTGACCTTTCATATATCGCAGGGTGTGTGTTCCATGCTTGCTGCCTGTGCTCTGTGGGCAGCTTCAGACTGATGCACAATGTTTGAAGCTGCTTTCAGAACACTTGAGTGCATAATTCAGGGTGGATAATTGCGTGTGTTGCACCAGAAATAGCAAAGAGTCTGGTAGCACTTTAACAGATTTATTGTGCCATATACTGTAATGCAACAATTAATCTGTTAGTTGTTATGAAGCGGCAAGTCTCTTTGTTGTTTTTACCTTCACATAACTATGTTATGAAGCCACTTTCTAGTATGCATGGTGCTTGTCCTTGTCCTAAAGATAAACAAGTCATTTTCATTTATCCACCATCACTTTGTCTCTCTCATTGCTCCTCTGCTCCTCTGCTGTTTTGTGTGTGTATATATATTGCAGATGTTCTAGTTACTGCTTATTGATTCTGGTTTGTTTCCACCTGTTGTTTCGTTTATTATATTATTTTGACAATACCAGAATAAAAGGGGGAAAGACACAAAAACCACAGACATACAAAAATCAAAAGTATAAATAAAGTCAATTATTTATGCTATTTACTCTAAAGCATCTGTACCATATAAAATCTTAAAATATTCCAAGGCCACCTTTTGATTGGAAAAGCAATATGCTTTTATGCAATGTCCAAAAAATGGTTCCGAACTTAACATAAAAGTATCTTGTTGCTGTCTTTTATTTTTCTCATATAGTATGTCCACTTTGCCATTAAAACAAAATCCCAACTTTTTTTTAAGTAATTCTTTTGTTTAGTGTTCTTTGTGATCTCAGTATGCTTGACACAATTAACATATGAAACCCATTTCTTATGTGTTTGTCATACTAAGCCCTCCATATAATTTGATAAGGAGAAAGCATGGAAGATACTGTTGTGTAGAACAAAATGCCCCTTTTCACAATTACCTGATGCAATGTCCTAGCCTCCTCATTAAACAGCAACCTAGCTGTCGTATTTCAAACATCCTCTGTGTGCTGAGCAGTAATTCTCTCCTCATGGCTCTGTTTTTCCAGAAATAGTTTCGAAGACGCTTTTACTTTCTGGGTGGTTGAAAGGTAACAGCAGGCCATTTCCCTCTGTGTACATGTTGGATATGATGTGCTGTTGTACAGAATGTGTTACGATTGTCAGACTTCTGGGTCAGCGCCATCGGTGAATGGCGGAGTTTCTCCGATCGGAGGAACGGGCTCCGTGGAAACTGGGTCTTCCCGCCGCGGCGAAGGTGGGGACCCGCTAGAAATCCCAGGCGGAGGAAGCCTGGGAACGTGGGGTTCGGCAGGGCACCAGGAGTGCCCCCCTACTCACTGGGAACCCCATTTTGGGGCACCGGAGCGAAGTGGGGTGAGCGGCGCGGTGCTGCAAACTGATTGCTATTTTTACGGAGTGAAGCCGCACAGCCATTGCCGGAGAGTGCTGACTTTTTCCTGTGGACAATTGGATTCAAAACAAGTACCCGTGAGTAGAAATGGAAAATTGGATCAAGAAATATCTTAATTTGGCATCAAAGCGGGAAGGTTCAAAACAGGAAGTCTGCCTTCCGCTTTCTATATATAGACTAAAGCAAAAACTTTGTAAGCTAAAGCCTGGAAAGCCGTTAAAAAAGTCTAAATTTCCTTCATTTACAATTACTGAAACCCCCTTGGAAGTAGGAGAAAAGTGGGCAGAACTTTGTTTAACCCCTGCAGGAGAGGGAGTGAAGAAGGATAAGTTTCCACCGTCTCTAACCTGGGAACGGGGTGTCAGAGACAGAAATAGTTGGAGAGGTTCATTGACTGTGAATGGAATACTTTGACAGATAGCTAAAGAAGAGAAATAAACTGATTCCAATGTTGCCTTTTGCATTCTAAAGAAACAAAATATCTGAAAAATATCTGAAAAATGAAAGTAATTTTCCTTTGTTGGACTTGCCTTAAAAAAATGGATACAAATAGAAATTGTCTCCCCTAGAGGGAGCTTGTTAAATTGTTGCTGCAGTCTACTTGAGGACTCAACAGCTGTGAGATTAAGATCGTGGGACCAGTCTTTTCTGACCTTGACTAAAGATGAGCTGGGAGGAAGATTGGGTGCTTGCTTTATGCAAGACAAGTGCCTTGCTGGAACAGATGCACGAGAAGATGGATTTGATGAATGAGAAAATGGACTTGATGACTGTTGTGGTTAACAACTGTGGACAAACAGGGAACATTGATACAGAAACCATTCAGGGACCAACTCATGAACCTGTACTGACTGGGCAAGTGCAGAAGATAATGGAGGAGGATGCAGTTGCACCTCAAATAATACAAAGGGAGAAACCCGAGGCCCTACAGGAGCATAAGCCGCTGTCATTGAAGATTGAAGTTGGAGTGGGCCAGGGGGAGTCTGGAGCTGAGGAGGTTCCCAACTTTGGAGAGACCTTGAAATATGTTTTTAAATACTTTTTGGATTACATTGATGACTGTGGGGAGTGGGACTGTGGGGAATGGGCAGGTTTGATGAAGGGAGATGGAGACAATTTTGGGTTGGAACCCCCCAGAGACCTACTCCTCAATGAGAAAGGAAAGAAATTAAGAAAGAGACCAACAAATGACAAGGAAAAGGGCAAGTATAAACAAGAAGAAGAAGATCTGCAGAAGGGACATGGAAGAGACTTAAGGGCCTCGGACATAAGACTTCCAGGTTGATGGACTAGATGGAATGGACAGTAAGGACTGACACGACCCGAGACCAGGAAGAAGAGACGTTGGATGAAGATTGGAAGAAAATTTATAAAGAAAATTTTTTATTTGGGGAATTAGCCTAAAATTAATGAATATTAGGGAAAATGTTGGAATGAAACGATATGACTCTAGCAGAAATGATATCAGGAGTTATGTATATTTGAGTATTAAGATTCAAGCTTTAAGGTATTTTATGGTAAGATAAGGTTAAATAAATCAAGGTAATTTGAATAACAGAATATGGGGAAAGATGGAAAGGATTTGTTGAGCTAATTATTAGGTTAAATTGTTAAGATAAATTATTTAACAAAAATTGAGAAAGATGGAAATAATTTGCTGAAATAACTAATTAAACTAGAATACAAAAAGGGAGGTGTGAGGAGGTCAATGAAACAAGCAAATGGAAGTTAAAGATATGTAATTTGGGATTTGTGTCTTTTTTTTCTTCCCTTTTTTAATTTTTTTGTTGTATTGCTGTATTGGTTTTTATGTTTTGCGGGGTTTTTTCTTTTTTATGTTGTTGTTTTTTGTTTTTTATTTTTTTTCTATTATTCTGAAAGTATTAATAAATATTATTATTATTATTAAAAAAGAATGTGTTACGATTGTCAAAACACTGCCTTTGAAGTGTGACCCAGGGCCGCGCACTATCACCAGGTCATACGCACACACTGGGGGAGGTGCGCACTATGTCATGACGTCCCCCAGCATGTGTTTGCTGCGGCGTCATGCCTCCAGCATGCTCATGTCACTCGCTCACATAGCGGGGCATGGTGACATAGTGTGTGTATACCAGGGGGGCATGATGATGTAGCACATGCATACCCCACGCCATGCACATGTAGCTGTACTGCACCTTGTGTGTACCTGGCCCCTCCTTTAAAATGTTGAGGGAGCTATGGCACCCAGAGCCCCTTAGCCCCGGCACCTATGCTAGAAGGGGACCTAAGCACCACATGGCCACACTGGAATGGGGAATCCTCTTTGAGATTCCTCTTCAGTTTAATTAGAGAATAAACCATTTTACTTTATTTTTATGTAACCTACCTGTTTTCTTTCTCAATTACAATATCAACAGAGCTTCTTAATATGGACCATGGATTTGAATGTATTCCTTCTCTCTCTCTCTCTCTCTCCCCTCTCTTGCAGTGAGGTTCCTCACTTTTCATGGCAAATTGGCCTCTAATCCCATACTGGCTGGGTGGCCCCTCAAAGGTCAGTCACCATTACCCGGGCAGCCAGGATGTGTGGGGCCACTCCGACTGCTTACACTGCAGGGTGGGATTGCCTGCCAAAAGCCTAGTTTTTGAACCATTCAGTCAGTGGGTCACTAGTAGGTGGAGTCTTGTGGTAGGACCTGGAGTCAGAAGCTTCCACTCTGGTCTGCCGGGCAATTTCAGTACAGTCGGCAGAAGAGCACCTATGGTTAAAAGTGGTGCGGTCCTCTTTTTCATATGCAGATTTTACACTTATTCTGTTCCTTGCGTAGTCCAGCTCTTAAGCACAGCATTGGCAATCTCATTACTAGTGCTGTGTCAATAAAATCTGATTTTTAAAACCACCATTTAAAGAGAAAATGAATTGTATTTGCAAATTATCAGTGGGTCTAGAACATTTCACTGAAATTCTGAAGGAATACCTTTGAAGTGGCTGGGATTTTTTTGTGTGATGTTTAAGTGTCTCCTTTTCATTCTACAATTCTCCTCTCTGGTGGTCTACACTTTCCTAAGTGTCTCCACTTCTGGAAAATTCTAGTTGTCTTCTGATAGACTTTCTTGTAATGTCAGAAAGCTAAGGAGACTGAGGTTTTTTTAATGACTTTTCTTCCAAACAAAATCAGGGAGTGCGCCAGTTTGAAGCACTTGATATCCACCCTCCTCACCTTTCTTCATCAAAGGGGAAGGCATCCTCTTCCTATGGGTCTTTTTTAGACCAGGAATCACAGGTAGCTGGAGAGACTGAAGAATGATAAATACTTTACAGAGAACTGTTTTAATGAATGAAAGTGGGGAGGGAAACACACCTCCCTTGGCCACCTTGAAACAATAAGGTAAGCCCAACACATGGAAATTATACAGTGCCCTGCAAACAAGGCAGGAAAACAGAAACCTCTTTGGGGAATACAAAATCAAGGACTGTTTTCTGTACAGTATTAGTCCTGTCAGGGTTTTGGATAACTGTCAGTCTTTGAAGTTTAGAACTACTGTTCTCGTTTTGTCAGCAGCATTGTGTCACTGTCTACCATTTACTGGGAAGTGGGAAGAGTACTGTTGCGTTCACATCCTGCCTGCAGACTCCCATAGGGATTTGGTTGGCTACTGTGAGAACAGAATGCTGGACTAGGCAGTCCTTCAAACCATTCCATCAAGGCTCTTCTTAAGCACACATCAGTACATTTTTACTTTTCTGTGTTGAATAACTTTAAAGTTGTTGCCATAGCTACAATCCATATTTTGCTATGTGTTCTTTCTTCCCAGAATTGACTCCCTTTGCCTTCATCCTTCAGACAGCTAAGATGCAAGGCACACCTTTCATACCAAACTGGCTGTGGCGGTACAAGAGGCAAAGCTGTAATCACATAGACACTTCCAAGAAGACATGGCTGGTGCTCTGCAAACATGCCCTTAGAAAAGTACAAATGGGGATGCCAATTCTGAATGATTTAAAATTGTAGAAACAAACACCATGTGACCCACAGGTTCCCCAGCTAGGTTCCCCAGCTACTGAAGTGTTTTTACAACCTACTTTCCAATGTTGCTGCTTTCCCTGTATGCCTCCGCACGGTAGACATAGCTGAAGGGCAAATAGGCTATGTTTTTCAAAAGGCTTATTTTATAATTAAAGACTCAAGTGCTTCGTGTGGAACATGAATAATGTATCTTATAAATCTTCTTTGATATATGTATACACAATACTGAATCGTTATTTAGTGGTAAAACTAAAACATGAAATAAGTAAAATATGGCCTAAAATGAATAAATGTGCATATGTGGGAGGAAAAGAGGGCTCCAAGATATGCAGCTCATAAAATTGCAGGAGGTTATTATTATTAGGTACAGCACCTTTCGAAAGAACACTTTAAAGTCATTTTTCAAATAATTAAGATTGAGACTCAATATTCCTGAGAATGAGTTCTAATGTTTTTCAAAGACTGATTTAGAGAGGTAAAAGAGGCACTTTCAGTCCTTTTTCAGTATGGTTTGAGCCTCCTTTACGAAGTTAGCCAAGGGTTTGCATCAATTGGGATCACAATCCAACAAAAATGAAAACGTTTATGCTTAGACACATGACCACCTTCCATACAGCAAAGTGTTTTCCATAGGTTCACATGGTAGGGAAACAAGAACTCGTTTTTTCCAAAATATGCCAAGCAGTCCTAAGTAATTTCTATTTCCTTCTTCCACTTTCTGACACAGAGCAACAGCAGGAAGTACAAATATGCCTTAGGTGGCCTTCAGACACATAGTTCTGCAGTGCATAACTTAGCACATCTTCCTGTCAATAAAATGTTCACACACAGTTTATGTCCTCTCCAAATGTTGTATAACAATAGGGCAAACAGTTTCATATAGAGTAGCCAAAACCAGTTATATATACAGCTCCGAAGGCATAAAAATAGCCACCCCTACAGAAATGCACAGTACTTCTGAGACAGAAAACACAGGTACCATAATGACTTTTACTTATGCAATGTAGTTACTAATGCAGCCAGCATTATTGAATAGACAATATCTTAATGACTGAGTTATTGGGCAAAAATTAAGTCCATATTCAAATATGTAAGAATCACTATAAAAGTAAAACAGTAATGAGAAAGAAAATTTTTGATCAAGAACAGTGATTAGTGGAAAGCCACTAATATTGGTATAATGGAATCAGTGTAACCAAGCAAATGTTAAATCTGTTGGCACAGTGATAGATGAGAGAGTGGATAATCTTGGGATTGCAATGCAGGCTGCAGTCAGAGTTGAAGGATCCATCCACCGAATTCAGCCTATTTATTATAAAGTAAAATGGATGCAATTAAACCTGCAGAATGCCCACATGCTAGGTTATCTACTTGACAATTCTACTTATCACTTGATAACCTGCATTATTTTTTTAGATTTTTTTTAAAAAAATTGCAAGTGCTGGAAAGTGACATAAAATTGTCATAAATATTAATATGGTTTACAAAGTTACAACCACTGGTAGATTGTCTTTTGAAGATCATAGCTTATTTCCCCTTCAACTACGTCGTTAAAACTTTGTGACTAGCATTCTGTACTATTTGCAGGTTCTGAATAATATTCAAAGGCAATCCCCACCTAAAAAGTACTGCAACAGTCTAATATGGAAGTTGCCAAAGTATGCATCCCTGTGCAGGAAAAGCTTTAGCTGGTGAAGGGCTGGAGCTGGAAATACACCCTCCTAGCCACTATGGTCACCTTGGTCTCAATGTGGATCAATGAAAAGCTGATTATTTGCATATATTGAACTCATTTTTGACCACATAAAAACTGCATGAATCTTGGTAGAGCTGTTACTTCAAATGGAGGGTTCCTATTACTAGTACAGAGCTCAGGAAACACACATGTAAACACTTTATTCCAGCTTTCCCTAACCTCTTGCCTCTAGATGTTTTGGACTACAACTGCCATACGTCTTGATCATTGGAAAGACTAGCCTATTCATGCAACGCATGAAATGAATTTAAAGGAAAGGCAGAAATAGGAAATATGAGATTGAGCTGTTTGACAAGAGAATTTCCAAATTCTTGGTAGTGCAGAAGCCTAAAAGTTTGAATTTCAGTAGATCTGAAAGGTGCTGGCATCTGGGAATTTGAAGCATTTACAAATACTTGTCATAATGTTAGAAAGGTAGACCTTTTCTAGGTTAATGTATCCACATTCTTCACAATTCAACAGATGCAGAGAGGGTGCTGATTCACCAAAGTGAAAGAAATGAAAAGACTTCAAAATTCGTAACAATAGTGAAAGAAAATGTTAAACCAGACTAATAAAACAAACACCATGATCACAATATGATCGTGATAATATCAGATTTTAGTTTCACCATTAAAACATCTATTCAGCATAGCCAATTATATGTTGAAACAACAGTGCTGATGTCATGTAGCATAAGGAGCAGTGTAAGATTTAAACGAGACTCATCTGCAATCAGAAACCTGAGCACTAAATGTGACATGGAACCAGGGATGGTGTGAAATTTTCAAGGAAAATTCATCTGTCTTGCAGAATTCCCATTTGGATGTCAAATGATTCATCTCAAATGAGCTTTCTTCCAGAGTTCCCACTGCATGCTGAACAGAAAAGGATTCTGAATTGGACCTCAGGGCTTATTTTTCACATATCAGTGATCTGGCACAAAGAGAGGAAACTGTTGCCCAATTCCTGGATATATGAGAATTCCACTTCTATGCCTTTGGCTGCATATATTGCCTGATATGAAAATCCAACAAATACCCAAAGTGCAGTTTTTCAGCAGCCCTGGAATAGGCAACCTGATTGTCTAAAAACAAAAAGGATTTGGATTTTAAGTTCTGAAATGTGCTCAGCAATTTATCAGAGGGTGACAAGTAGTGATTTGGTCATGTGGAATATCCTTTTTTTAAAAGGCTATTTTACTACTTGTATATTGAGGTTGAGAGTCACTTTGTGATGCCTCCATCACTTCAAAAAAATGGTTACATGACTCATTCCACAGTTGGCTAACCAATAGGATATGGCTAACCAGCTGTAGTAAGAAATGAGGAAGCACATGCTACTGTTCTCTTTTTTGGGTTTAACATATCAATTTAGGACCTGAATAACAAATTGAATTGGAATGACACACAGCAGCCCTGAAACAGGTCATTTTGTTTCCAAACACTACAAATACAGACAGAATTTGAATCTGGTGGTCACTGCATACCCCTAGTATATTGGAATATCTGCTATCATGGTAGATAAAATGGGTGTTTATTATATTTCTGGTTTCCTACACAATATTTATGATTCCACTACATGAGCTTTACCTATATAATGGGAAAGGAGCACAACTCTTTTGAGACAGCAGATGAAATGGTCAGTTGAGAGTAGTTTAGAATTCTACTCATTCACTCTAGATCTGTCAAATCCACATCCTGATCTGAAAATTCTGGAAGCCTTTCTGCAATTCAGTCAGTTTTCAATGTGTCATGCTTACATGAAGATGCATTATGTAATATCACAATAGCCACACGTCCTGATTGTTTTCATAGCCAACCATCCTTATTCCGCAATATTTCAACTATTTTATGCCAAACACCCTTGAATCTCTCAAGAGATGCTTGCATCTATTAAAGTGAAGTGTCTAAAGCTATAATTCAGGGACAGAACAGAAGGGTGGTATACAAATTTAATAAATGGTAATATTAATAATATTGAGCATATTCTATGCAGCCAGAAGCTGCACTCAAATGTAGCACATGTTCATTTATTGCCATTAATTAGCATTGGAAGTTTGTGGTGAAATGGAAGGCCATTCATGTCACATTTCTTCCCACATCTGCTTTGTGCCAGTTTGAGGAAGTGTACATCTGATGTGACATGGATGGATACACACCCAAAACACAAACGACACAAACACACCTCACCACAGACTTCCAGTATTACCAAGAAGCATGGCAAAGCTTTTCCTGCAGATTTTCCAAATGGTAAAAAAGTTATAGTTTCTCCCTCCCCACCGAAAACTTGCCATGCAAGTGAATAGGGAAAACAAAGCAGATTGGAACCCAAATCACAGACTGAAGCAGTCTGAGCATATAGCGACTTGCTAAATGTAACATGAATAAAGGGCAATTAGAGGAGGAGAAAAACCAGTGTATCCACAGCTTGGAAGTAACAAAATCTATTCAGATCTCATGAGCACTTGAAAAATGGCAGCCTTAAGCTCATTAAGTTGTGGACACGGAGCTACATCACAATGGATCTGATAGCACATGCAAGAAGATACCATATTTTTCCGTGTATAAGACGTTGTTTTATTTAAAAATTATGCTAAAAATTGGGGCTTGTCTTATACACGAATAGTGGAGAGTTGGGATGGAAGATTGGTGGCTGCCGCGAGTAGGAGATTGTCAGTGGCCTTTTTGTGGGTTATTGGTGGGTGTAGCAAGGTCCACTGGCTATTGGCAGCTGCGGCAATAGGGCGGGCGATTGGTGCTTGCTCTCAGCAAGTGTTCAGACACTTGGTGGCTTCATGGGTAAGCGATTTTCAGCAACTCCCCTCCCCCACCCAAAGCTCAATGAGTCTGTGCAATCCCCTCCCTGAAAAAAAGCTCTGGGCAATTTCCCCCCATTTTCTCAATTTTTAGTCTCAAAAAAGAGGGGGCGTCTTATACACGAGGGCGTGTTATACATGGAAAGATACGGTACCTTTGCATGCAAACAACATATATAATATACTTTAAAATATAACAAATATACTAAAGTTAGAGTCTAAGACCTGCAACATTATGTGGACTGTAAAGGTGGGATCATGCAAACAGTCTGCCTTGCCATTAGCGTCTCCATGTGACAGCTCATTAGACTGGCTCCTAGCAATGGAGTCAGGACCTAAGTACATTTGTGTTAGCTGGAACATACAAAGCAAGTAGGAAACTCCTGCTGGGAACTCAGGGAGAAAAGCTCTTAGATGTCTCTGCACAGGGCTAAAGAAGTGTTCGGGGATAGGTTGCCTCATAGAGTTCTGTTGCAAAGTTGCCATTAAACAGCCAAAAGAAAGGCACCATCTGAGGTGAAAAACAAAAGAATAAAACCGGTAACTGGTATGAGAGCAGAATACCTGCTGCTAATAGCAACAACGGCAGCTCTAGGTAGCATGGCCATTAAAGATATACAGGGCTGCCAACCCAATTGTACAAAAATCCCAGCGAAAGAAAAAAGTCGTGCTTTAGTCATTTCAGCGGCTATGGCTTCTACAGGGCTGGTTCAAAAGGGGGAGGGTGTTGTTTTTCCTGAAGATTTTTACAGAAGATGCAAACTGAAAAATGCCCCTGAAAGAAAGGAGAATTCACACCTCTCTAATGAGGTAAACAGGCACACCTTTCATAAATTCATTAACAGTTTACGACCATATTTCAACTGGCTGCTTTTCTTCTAAGCTTGGGAGTACTTATAAACTGTGTGAATGAATCTGAAAGTGCTATTAGCAAAGCCCCTTGCACTGGCCAGATGAGAAGCTATTCTCCCTGTAAAATGTTGGATTAGGGAGCAAAGGACAACCAAAATGATCGAAGGGATACAGGGACTCCCCTATGAATAAAGGTGGTGGCATTTGGGACTTTCAATTTAGAAAAAAGGCAAGTAAGAGATGATATGATAGTAGTTTATGGAATTATGTGTGGAATGGAGAAAGAAGATAAAGGTTTTAGAAGAGGTGTAGAAGACAGATGGAATGATGACTGGACAACAGCTAACAGAAACAACATAAAACATTTTTGGTAGGGTGTGTGTCATATTTTCAAACATAACCTAAAATGCTGTTCTTATGTTCAAATGTGTTCGCAGCAAAAATTCAGAGCCGTTCCTTGATTTTAAGTATGACTTTCAAATAAAAATCCTTCCTCCTCTCTGCCCCACTCTGTGTGGTCTAGAAACCTGTTTCATTGAAATAAGTCCTCAGCCTTATTACTGAAAATATTGAGGAAAATGATCTAACATCTATAATGAAGATAGTGACACTCTGAAATAGCTCAATTATTGTTATTTTTTCTCACCATTCAGAAATGAGTGAAGAATAAAGTGTAGATTATCATCTGAAAAGGAAGAGAAACACCTGTGGAAGGACAGTTCAGATTCCTGCCAACATGCAGGTTGGAGTCAAATGGATGCTACTAGACAAAGGTGACTATTGAAAGCAAAAATAAAAATAAGCCTTTTCCTCTGACATGAAATTCCCACACCTGTTAAAAGCTACCTCTGAAATAAGAAAATAATAATTTATTTCTGTATGTATTCTGTGTGAACCTTCTAATAACATCCCAAAATTTAATTTGCATCCATTGCCCTAAATCAGCCAGTGTCCACTGCAGTCTGTGATAATGTCAGCTGGACTTCTGCCCCTGTTGAACCTGACATACAGTGGTACCTCAGGTTAAGTACTTAATTCGTTCTGGAGGTCTGTTCTTAACCTGAAACTTAACTTGAAGCACCACTTTAGCTAATGGGGCTTCCTGCTGCCGCTGCGCCAACAGAGCACAATTTCTGTTCTCATCCTGAAACAAAGTTCTTAACCTGAGGTACTATTTCCAGGTTAGTGGAGTCTGTAACCTGAAGCGGATGTAACCTGAGGCATATGTAATCCGAGGTACCACTGTAAATTTAATCACCAACCACTCAATTGGCTCATTCTAAATTTTTCTAACTATATATGTGAATAAAGGCTGCCTTCCCTCCAACCCAAACAGGAAACTCACTTCTTTGAAGAAGATGCAAACATGGATCTTCATCACCTGACTCCGCCAGAAGAAAGAGAGTCAGTACAATTCGACTTCTTCTTTCATACAAACTACAATGAACATTTCAGTTCTTTGCATCTATAGCCCAAATCTTGATCTCAGCAGCTAAATACCAAGAGAACGACTGAGGAGGAGTCACATCACTGTTGGATCAGAACTGATGCTGTGAGGAGGAGGAAAGAGGAAAGCTTTGGCACACTTCAAATATATGAGCGTACCTCCCCATGCTGTCCTCTTCAAACATCATAAAGAATATATCCTTATTCCTTCATGCCACAGGATGAAGCACAAAACACTGCAGAGGACTCCAATGTGTTTTTAGGGAGATGACAGAAGAAAAAAGATGTTCCCTTTGCTTGCTACATGTGTGTGGTATAGATATACACTGTAAAATGTAACTGCAGTTATTATACTGGTTTTCTCAGTGCACTATGCATCAAACTTTCAAGTCTTAAATAACATACTCTAATTTGTTTCTTATTGAATTTACAGCAGATTTCTACTTTGCTGATTTGAAAATCAAGCCAGTTGTCCATGTCATGTGTTGAAAGGGTACTGATAATTCCTAAAATGGCTTAAAATGATATTATAGGTGACAGGAAATACTTTATATGCTCAAGTAAACTCGGAGGAGATACAATAAACTTTTGCATGCCTTCATCCTTATTGGTACAGTAAGCATCTAAATTATGCACCAACCTAAAAGGTTGAAGCCAAAGGGTTGGTTTCACCCTTATCAATAGTTTTGAATAACCTAGTGTGCCTTGGTGTTGGAGAATGTATCCCATGCCATTTCAGGGCAACTTGCTAAACTCTGTGATAGTTCCGTCAGAATCAGGCTCAAAATTCAAGGTCAAAGAGAAGGGCCAGCAGATGCTATGTAATGAAAGATCAGTTCTCTTCCCTGTGTGCCAGGGTCTCCAGCCACATCAACGGTGTCCAGGAGATGCACAGTGGTTGAATTCTTGCTCCATCAGTGAAGTAGTGGTCGTATTTCTGTGAATTACAACTGCTCTGGGATGGTGGGGCCACCCAAATCTGGGGAGAAGGCAATGGGCTAAAAAGCTTTATGTATTGGCTATTATGCTATTTCAATGAATGGAATGGGCTAATACACAAGAGCAATCAACTGCAAATGATCCTTGTACCACTACCATAGTAAATAGCAGCACAAATCTTTTTGAGGCAAATTGCAAGAACACCTTTAGCCAGTTAAGTTAAAAACAAAACAAAACTCAAAAGGGTTAGGACTTGAAAAACAGCCAAGCAAACAAGCATATATTTTTTTCTTCCTAAGGTACTATAACTTTGGTGTTGATCAGAAAAAAGCTGAAATGAAATAAATGATACTTAAAAGAAGAGACCAAGTTTCTGGAGGATGAGTCTCCCAATAAACCACATGCACCACTTACAGTAATTCTGCAAGGGATGTACATTTGGAATTAATGATGCATTCAGCAAATAAAGGATGGATTCAGATGGCAGCATCCTTCACAACTCATTTAGTGCTGTACATTGGAAGAGGGGCAAGGACTCACAAGAGGATATAAGTGGTGCGCATAGGAAATGTGCTAGTGTCTCCCTTCTGTGTGGAGTTACCCTAATTCCTGCATTCTGTGACATCCATAGCAAGCACAACTTCTGTCTCTACCATTAAATTGAATTTAAATTTAAATACTTTATTGTCACTTGTATACAGTGAGATTACATAAGCACCCCCCACTCAGCTCTCTTAGTCTTAATTGCCCTCATTTACTGATGCACACCCACCAAACCTGAAAGTCAGTTGCCCTGTTGTTATCTTTTCATTCAGCAGCCTAACAGCCCACAGATAGAAGCTGTTCTTTACCCTGTTGGTGGGACTAATCATGTTTCTATATCTTCTGCCTGAGGGCAGGAGATCAAGAAAGTGCCAGCCAGGGTGTGAATCATCCCTGAGAATTTTCCTCACTCTCCTGAGGCAACGTTCTTCTGCAATGTCATCCAGTGGATTCACAGGACAGCCCATAATATCTTGTGCTGTATTCACCACCCTCTGTAGGTACTTCCTATCAGTTGATGTCAAACCAGCGTACCACACTGTGATGCAGTATGAAAGGACACTTTCTATTGTGGACTGGTAGAAGATCATCAAATGTTGATTGACATTGTTCTTTCGCAATACTCTGAGGAGATGGAGTCTCTGTTGGGCTTTCTTAACCACCTGGGTTGTATTGATTTTCCAAGCAAGGTCTTCACTGAGATAAACTCCTAGGATGGTAATGAGACTATGAGACAAGATTTCAGACTCTTGGGGGACAGGGGCTTTCTCCTGAAAATTTGACCCTCTGGTCAATGTGTCCCCTGAGGTTTCGTTTTCCAGTGCTAAAGCGCAAACTCCTCTGCCAGCCCATTTAGCTCCTTCTCTTCTCAACTGCCAATATTTTGCTTGTGATATTTGTAGGGGCCAAAATCATGAACCTACTAATCCTTGTCTAGCTTTCATTTGGATCAGCAAGAAAGGAACTGCACAATCTCCCTGTGGTTTTACAGGGAAGCTCTCCTTTTTTGAAGATAAAACCCTCCAAAGATAGCTCAGTTTCTCTTTAAAATAACAAGATGTAGAAGGAATCACTAGGTAAGAAAATGTAGTGGACTATTTCTATGAGACGGACTTAGAAAGATCTGAGATAAGAGTATACAATGAATGGGGAAGGTAGAATAGTAAGTACTATGTGAAGGAAAAGGTATATAAACATGAATAGGATAGCAGTCTCAGATACAAAAATGCAGTTTTTTTCAGTAGAAATGGGGGAATGTCAAATGATGAGGGTCACTCAGCAATTATGGATGGATGGATGGATGGATGGATAGATAGATATAGATATATACTGTAATGCTTTGCTGAAAACCAATAAAATCTAAGCAAAGTGTTTCTCTGTTCTCGGATAGCTTTTTAATTGGACACAAATATGATGGCGTTCCCAAGTCAACGAAGGACAGATCTAAACTGTTGGGAAGGGGGAGCTATTAGAATATTTCAAAGGAGATCAAGGGTATAAACGTCAGAGATGGCAGAGAAAGCCAACAGAAGGTTAATCAATTCTCCTTTTAACTTTCATAAATAAGATCACGTTTAAATAGAAAATGAGCTTATGGAGAAGACCATATGTGAATGGCATTTGGCGGGTGGGGGGAGGTGGACTGAAGGTTATGAAATAAGCAAATAGCTTTTCTAGTAAAGAACATTTGAAAACTGAAATGCTTAATTATCTTGTGTCATTCTTTTCACTTTGCCTTCATATGGGGATTGGGAAGTGAAGGTAACTAGACAAGACAGTGCCATCATCCTGCCTCCTAAGTTATTAAGCAGCTACTGGTACAGGCATAAGCCTCTCCCCGAGTCACCTCTATATGTAACTTTGGAAAGATCCACATATAGACAGATGTAATGCCTGTTTCATGCATGGGAAAGTCAGTTTCAAGTAATCTAGGAAAAGAGGCAAGCTTATAAAATGCATGCTATTGCTGATTTCAGCACAGGCATTATACTATATTGCTTTTTTATAAAGAACTCACATAACTATGAAAGATTCCAATTAACTTATGAACGATATATCCTTAGAACAATGTCAAAATCAGAATCATGCAGAAAGAGTATGATATATATTTTATTAGGCTAAAAGCTCATGTGTCCATTTGCCAGGCACCAGCAAAACCAGTCTATGGCAATATTGCTACAAGGACTATAAGCATCGTTTGATTTTAAATGCTGTACTGTACAAAAATTGGAGAATGTCCTGCATTTGTCAGAATCTGACTGTGGCAGCATCAGGCTGTAAATGGCTTTAAAGTCCTAAATGGCTTAGGTCCAGAATACCTTAGGGATTGTCTCTTTCCATAACATCTTATCCACTCCTGCTTTTATTTTTGGATTAAAAGATTAGATTTTTATTATTTTTCAGCTGCTGAGAGTCTGTTTTGTTTTGTTTTGTGGTGCTCTAATTACATTGTATTTTAAAAAATATATATGGTGTAAACCACCATGACTAGCATATATACCCTGGATAAATTAATCGATCAACCAAAATCAAAAAGGGGGGGGGGGGAGAAGAATAATTAAAAAAAACAAAAAACTGACCCAATTTCTAGACATCCCAAACCAGCCACCATGCCAAAATCCTGGAACAATGACTGCTACTTCAGCATTCATTTTGTGCAATACTACTGTACAATAAGTACTGTATTCAGTAGCATACTTCAACTTTGGATGAATGATTTACACAACATCTGCATAGATTATATAGAGTTCTAGAGGATGGGAGTTTAATACACACACACACACACACACACACACACACACACACACTACATATATATGTTTGCAATTCTTTTCTTTTGGCATTTTGTATTAGGCTGCTTGTCAGCTAGTTTGAGAAAAATCAATGAGGCAAACAATACAATGCTAGCCTGAGTTATGCCTGCTGGACAGAGCTATAGGATCACAACCAAATTGATAGTAAACGTTCATAAAGTCATGCACAACAATATCATTGTGTCAGAGCAATCCTGACCCAGCAAAAGCTGAACACTAGCAGGACCAAAAGTGGGATAGTGGCGCTGGTAAAACAATTAATGATGCTACAAAGTAGTCAACAGAGTCAGAATCTTTACTGGTATGAAATTAACATAGGTAAAATTAGCTTAGCTAAAAACACCCATCCACTAAAGTCAGGTGAGAGTCTTTGTGCCAAACACTTTACTTCCCAGCCACACTGCTGAATGTGATTCCAACTAATTCATTAGTCTATCAGTGCATTAGGGATATATCAGTCCCAACAAAGTTAACACAGCTCACACTTAACAGCATCACAGTGCCCTGGGGATGTTTGCCTATCTGACTCCAAAGTATATGAAAATGAAGAAGATCTCCCAAAATCCATTCAAAGAAAATGGGGGAAATGCCCATGAACATCCTCTCCCTTGTATGTCAAGCAATTGTATTTCTGGGAACATAACATATCTCTACAGAAACATGAGTTTATAAGGTTAATTGCAACTGAGTACTTTGGCAGCATTCTGCAAATCATTTATACTTTAAAAAAGAAGAGATAGCTAAACAAGAGATTTTTCTCTTAACATCCAGGGTTATATGAGCCCTAACCATTTTCCCCTGTTAAAAAAAGCACTCTAATCGTACTCATTAGCAACAAGATTTAAATAAGTAATTGGTGTTTTCACTTTGTGACCTTGAAGGAGAGCACAGCTTTCATGTACTTTGCATTCATTATTGCTAACAGAGTTCAGGGTCATCTGGCTTCCCCACCTCCACCCCCACCCCGCTTTTCTTTTTTAAACTGTTTATAGGGATACTTCTGTCCACTGTGATCTGTGTCAGAAATCTCATTTACAAGAAGCCAGCCGAGCTCAAAATTGTTCTGCCTGCTCTAAATGTACAGTTTAAACCTTTTCAGCTCTGGAGATTTGGCCCATTTTATGGCTTAATAAAGATCAGCAAATAAAATGAATTTGGGGTCTCAGCACAGTTGCTTGTGGATTCCTGCCAACATCACATATCCAATCATTCAATTAGTGTTAATAGCACTGTTTGCTTAGAATCTTATATACACAATAGGAGGGAAAGTTTTAGGTCATAATGCATTGGCAGAGGTTTAGGGACAAGCTTCACAGCATCATATATCTTCTATATAGCTGACAAGAGCTATTACCTCATTGATCTAAGCAGCATCAAATTCATCCTTATTTAAAACAACATGCAAACAAGCATTTCCAACGTGTCCACATAATAACTGCCACAAAAGATTTTTTCCCCCTCTGGTATATTCAAAAGCTGCCCTACTTTTCTGGATTACATGATAACAAAATAGTACAACCACTGTTTTGTTTTTGGAGCATTTTGTATAAAATGTCTGAGCTTTGTAGACAAATCAAATAAATGCAC